CATTACTATCTGATTGCTTGAAGCAAAGGATCAAGTGCTGGGCACTACAACATTCACTTTGTTGGACACGATTGGTAGCCAAGGTCTCGGTCACTGAGAGAACTCAAGGTTGAGGTCATCACCAACTCTGTTTTAAGTACGTGGGGTCAGACCCCATGTGGTTGGAGGCAGCCTCGCTTCTACGCGTGGGAGTCTCCCCGTCTAGCACTACCGCACTACGCCGTGGTGGAAGAACATCTTCCGTTCTGATTACTTCTGCACTATGTGTGTCCGCTCCCCTGCGCGGCCTGTCGGATCTCATCGATCAAGAGTTTCCCCAACTCTGTCTCCCCCAGCGTACCATCATCGCCAACAGCTCCCGAGGAGGACAACCAGCGTGGGACACTCTCCCTCACGGAATCCCAGCAACACCGCAAACAGCACACCGTGCTTCTCTCGCCATCAAAGAAGGAGCTGCCCGACATGGGGAAGAGAAGGGAGGTGACATCCTCGACACCATACCCAGCAGGCTCTACCCTCACAAGAGCCTCGTAAACACCCGTTTTCCACACGGGTTGGACGGAAAAGAGTCGCTTGCCTAAACGGGCGCGCAGTTCCAGGACCATGTCGAACGGAACAGCCAAGGACGATGAGGCCCATCGCACAAAGTACCACCGGCTGCACAAGCGATGCTCGTGCAAGGGAACACAGTCCGGGTGGAAACAGCAAGAACAGGATGCAAATCCTGTCTCTTTCAAGTTCGGAGGGGGACTCGCAGTCCCCATGACCACAACACAACGTGGTTTCTCTCGATACGCTTCTCCGCTCGGATCACTCCGTTCCAGTCTACCAGCAAGTCCCACGGACATTAGCTTATCATTCTCCAACTTTTGTCTCCGAGTCGACTCACAGTCTCGGCAGGGTGGCACCCGCAGTGGCGGCTCACGCCGTGCACGGAATGCACTCCAAAGATCAATCCCATTGCTCAACAAAACGTCGCAGCACAGCCTGCTCGTCTCATACAAACCGTCACCCGGTGATTCCTTCTTCTCAAAAAGAAATGGAGAGAAAACTCACTCTCGTTCGTTTGCTTTCAGGCTCTGTTCTGTATAGAACAAAGCCAACCACCCATGGTTGTGATGTGGCCCGCGGCGGAGTTTCGTAGGTTCGTGACCGAAGAGCAGCTTTCCCACGGAAAAGTAAAAATACAAGATTAAGTTTGTCCCCGACGCAAGAAAAAGGTCCCTGCCCTTTTCACACTCTGTTGGTTGACTCTTGTCACGTGTAGTCGACCATCCCCGTGGTCTCCACAGTAGCTTGTCGTGCAAGCTGCATCCCGCCTTGGCTTTTCCAGCCAATTGGCGTTTACTGACCGTCACTCCCGCCCCTGCTCCCGTGACGAAGCACCCCTCCTCCGTTAAAACTCCGGAGGTTTATGACGCAGTCACCGTAACCGACTGGTGCCGGTTCCATGGTTCCCCTTATAACCAAACATA